GACAGCCCAAGCGCTGTAGTCTCTCCTCCTTCATGTCCCTGTTAGCCCCTGCCCTGGGAGGACCACCCTGAAGCTACATTTCCCAATCCTGTTCGTTCATCCTAACCGCTCCCTTCCACTGACCAGGCTGGGTGAACACAGGCTGGCCATGTCCTCTGTTGCTTGTCTATTAATCAGAATTTTCCACAGCCTTTTTATCCTCTCCTTGACGCTGGTAACTCCAAACGTCTCTCCTCTCTTCTTGCCCTCCTCCTTCTGTTCTCACTCACTTCCAAGGCCTCCAGCTTTTACCTAAACTAAGTCCCCAGTTGACATCTCAGCCTAATATCTGTCCTGAACGTCAGACTGCATACATCCACTGGCCGCTGGCCATAGAACAGGTACTCGCTCAAGGTCAAGGAAGAAAAGGAGACCCCATAGGATGAAATGGCTGACCTAGGCTCAGTTGAACATTTGGCCAGTTTTGAGGCTTTAGACAACTACATCAGCTTATAGAAGTAGCCTGGTTCTCATGGGGGGGTGGAGGTGGAAGGAAGTGCCCGAGAGGGGCACTGTGCCTTTTTTGACTGCCTTCTATCCACACCTCATTGTCTTGCTTTCCTCCTTTCATCTCCATCTTAACCCTAACAACCATCAGGAACGTGTTACCCTGAACTGTTGAAAGGGCATCACTGCTCCCAATCTCAATCCAACACTCCTAGCTAGGATTCTGGTGTAGCTAGCTACGTCCACCTGGGCCTTAGCCGGGAAAAAATATGGGTATTTTAGACTGCAGAATGCCAGCGGAGCTTACAGAGAAGTTGAATCACTATGTTGTACACCTGACACTAATGTAACATCATGTGTCTACCACACACACACACACACACAAAAAAAACAAAACTGCAGCATGCCAGATTTAGCTTAAACAGAAAGACTTTTATAAAAGTAATGGGGAAAAAATTAAAAAAAAAATAAAAGTAATGGGGGCAGCCTGGGTGGATCAGCGGTTTGGCGCCTGCCTTCAGCCCAGGGCCTGATCCTGGGGACCCGGGATCAAGTTCCGCATCGGGCTCCCTGCTTCTCCCTCTGCTGGCATCTCTCTCTCTCTCTCTCTCTCATAAATAAATAATATCTTTTAAAAATAAAAGTAACAGTAATTGGTGGAGGGAGATTAAACACTTCAACAGATTTCTGAGTGCGATCCTTCTTTTTGTAGAGAAGACCCAGTCTTCCCTGTGGTCAGTTAAGAGCAGCAATCCACAACACTTGATATTCCCAACTGTTGTGATGGTAACTATAGGACGGATACCTCCCAAGAGAAAATCTGGTTCCCTCCGTGGTGGGAGCTTTAGCTCCTGCCGTTGGTCAGAGAACAGTGGTCTGTGGGTAGTAACCAAGGCCTGAGACAAATCTAAAACCTCGGCGGTAAACCCTAGGACCTTGGTCGGTTCATTCCTTGACTCTGACTCACCCTGTCAGTCCCACATGGAGCAGCACAGAAGCCTTAAAGACCTAGGCCTTGGCCTACGGATTATTGGGGAAACTTGACCTGCTTCCCAAGTTGAGGGCCAAGTGGGAAGGGACCTGAGACGATATAGGGAAGTGGCAGCAGCTTGAAAGAAGAGACTTTGAAAACAAGCTAAAAACTAGGGATTGCGAGTGGGAGCTGACCTAACCGGAGAAAGGCCTGATGGTTCCTCTATAGGAATTGACACTGTCCATCAAAGAACTAGCCCCTTAAGAGTTGGAAGGCCTGTGGTAGGATCATTTAATGCAGCCTCTTTTACAAAAGGAAGCTAGGAGTTGGCTTGAGTTGAGTGGTGTGACCTCAAAACTACCAAAGAGCTCAGTGACTCTAGGAAGGCTTTCTTCCCGGCCCACTCCCACCTCCCCACCCCCCCACCCCCGTGATCTCTGATTTGGGAGTTTCCATATGCGAGTCTGCTTGTCCCTAGAGAAGAGAAGCTTTGAAGAGGAGTCTCATCTCCCTCAAGCTACAACGCTAAATAGTCCAGTTTTCCAAGAACTGGTCCCAACCTGTCATTTACCTGCATGTGGTGACATGGAGATGGACGATGGTGGGCCTCCTAAGCTGAGGATGCCAGGGCCCACCTCAGGAATGCCATCCTCACTCCCGGGGACAGGCAGGATGAGGGGACCAATGCTAGAGGCAAAAAGTTAGGTGAAAAAATAGCAGTCAAATGGGAAGAAGCCTGGGTTGGCCCACAATCCTCTCCTCCCCTTGATCTTCTGTTCTCAACTGTAGAGTCCAGCATCTGATAGTCGGTTCTCTTACTTTCTTCACCAAATCTCCTGTGTGAGAGCCTTGACTTCCTGAACAGACCCAGGCTCCTTCTCTGTCCTCCACTTTCTTTCCCTCTTTAAATACCTAGCACAGGTAGGCTCACACTTTGGGTAGTCACTCTCAACAATGGTAAAAGCTACAAGTAAACTATGGCAGCAGGGGAAAGCCAGTTTTCTCTTGCTCTCAGATTTAGGAAACATCAGTTTGCTAACCTTCCTGAGTCAGGAATATAGACTAGGACAGTGCTTCTGGCCTGGCTCATGCTGTCACTCAACCAGCTACCAGGCAGGACACAGGAATCGGTGTTTTAATGGAGCTCTTGCAAGTTATAACCTCACCAATCCTCAGATGTGCAACTTCCGTAGAACTTCTGAATTTGCAGAGTAGTTTGGTTACAGCCTCTTCAAACAAAAGACAGTTCAAGCCTATCTCCTTCAGATCTATCATTAATCCTGGCTCCTCCTCATTTCACAAAACCCCTCTGACTTCCCAGATTCCAAGTATCTCTGTTCACCTCCTATGCTTGCTTGCCCCCAAAAGAACAAAGACTCATCCAGAGAAAGAGCTTAATCTTTTGTTCTACACTTCAGCTCTTGATTGAAGTAAGAAACTTGAAAAATTTGTTGGCAGATCAGGACGTGGATCCTTAGAGGGAGTCTAGTTAAAAGAGTTAACCACAGGTCCTTTCGAGTCAGATGAACTGGGTTCTTGATTGGCTAATCAGATTTTCTGTGCCTAAGTTTTGTTGTCAATACCTACCTCAAAAGACTGCTTTGAGGGTGGTGAATAGAATCTACAAAGCACTTTGAACAGTTTATGGAATAGAATTAAGGACCCAGTAGATGTTAGCTAACACTTTTATTAAAAAACACCCCAATATTTGCACACTCCAGGCCAGAACTGCCCCAACTGAGCACACTGTCACTGGTCAACAGGGAGTAGCTACATGGCAAGGGGCATGGTGCTACAGGGACAAAGCTTCTGGTTCCATCCTAAGAGGGAGATGCACATGAATGACTCAAGATCGTCCCACAAAGACCAGTGTACCCCTATATATGGCGCTTCCCTGGGACAATGATCCCTGTAGTGCTCTGTAGACCTCAGGACCCTACACCAGGAGGTTCTACATGTAGCATGGGCTCAGGATCAACTGCGTCAAATTTGAGAACTGTTCATATTCTGAAAGGAGAACTAAAAAAAAAAATATATCCCTCTGGCTTCCAAGGACAAAACACTATCTTGATCTTTGAAAGAGAGCAACACAGTGAAGAGGCCAAAGGCTTTGTGAGCAAACCAACTTGATCTCCAGTTCCAGAGCAAATCACCATAACCTTCTGGACCTTACCTTCCTCATCTATATAGAAATAGGAGGGAGTAAGCTTAATAATCTCACTGGATTATTGTTAGGTTTGAATGAGGTAATGGGCAGGAAAAGCACCAAGCACAGAGACTGGCACCAGCAAGCACTCAACTGGTGGCTCCCTTTGCTTGTCCAGAGCTAGGCCATGACCTATGGATAAAGTAGATGTCTCTGAGAACTCAAAGTCTCAGATAACCAGGCCTTGGGTCCCTCCCTGCCTCCCCATCCCTCCCGGAACCAGCTCTTGGACCCCCTTCTCACCTTCCCGGCCCAGACTGCTACTAAATTGATGAAGCTAAAAGGATTTGATCATGTCGGTATATTTATATGTAAATACAAAACTGTATCGCTATAAGATATTGAATATGAACATTTACAATTATTTTCTGAATCTGACTCAGTCCATTGACGTTAAATACAAAATGAAAAGATTGTAAAAATAAGAATATATACATTCAAAGAGCTTATTACAGTATAAAATTATCGAGGTCTGATCAGCTGCCAACCTCATCTGTGATGGGAGAAGGTTTAGGGGTTCCTGGGATTTTCTCAGGGATGTGGAGTGCTGGGAACTCTTGATTCTATCCCTAGCACATCAGGTAGGGGAGGCTGGGAGCAGATAGGGACAGGATGGGTGAGTAGAGAGTAAACAGTGATTGCAGGCAGGCAACTGCCTCACCCAGCCGGGGGGGGGGGGGGGTTTAAGCTTTTTTTTGACACAGAGCCCACCCAGCTTGAGTCCAGAATCTGGCAGGCTGCTAGGCAGGAAGAGATGGGCATTTGAGTGGACAGGGCCAAGTTGCATAAGGAAAGGAACTTTCTAGCAAAAGAAAAAGGGGTCCCAGCTCATTCTCCGAAGGAGGGATTCTCCTAGTAGTTTCCTCTCTCTCATACCTGGGCTCCCTCTCTTTCCTTCTAAGACTTCGTACCAATTGCTCTTGGCTCTAATTGCTCAGTGAGATCATCTTCACTCCCAGACCCCAACCCTCAAGGGACAGGGAGAGGAAAAAGGGGTCTGGAATCACAGTGGAGGTCTATTCCCCAAATTGGCAAAGTAAACAGAGTAAAATCATTAGATAAGGGCAATTCATGCTGAGTTAAACCAGTGTCACCACAAATCAGAATTCTCGGCTCCAACAGGCAGTATCCTGGAGAGAGAGAAGTCATTATGCAAGAATGAAGGCCTGTGGCAGGAGCACGAAGAGTGAATGCATGTGTGTTCTCTTCCACCACTCTGCAGTCTGACAACGAGAGATGATCCCCAACCCCAGCCAGTCCAGGATAAACAGTAGGGTCCGAGAAGCAAGGAGGCCTGAACTGCAACATGGAGCCCCAGGAAATTCTACAAAGGAGTATCTCTGTGTATATGTATTTATAGAATACGACCATATTATCACATACAATATATATTATATACACACGTACATATGGACCCATACACATAAGTGTGCGCGCGTGCGCACGCGCGCGCACACACACACACACACACACACACAGAATGACAGAAAAGACTGGAATACACGCCCTAGGTATAAACGTGCTTGGCACTCAGGACGTTCTCTAGAGTATGTAACTTGGTCAAGCTCTCTGGGAAGGAAGGTGGATACTCCTCAAACCTCCCCATCAAATCCTAGCAAAGGTAAGGAATGGGAACGAGACCTCAAGAAGGAAAATGGCATCGGGAAACGGGGAAGGGAGGTTCCTTCCCCACTTACCTCGGGGCCCCTGGCAAAAACCCATAGCCACAATTTGGTTTTAATAAGGCACAGTTCAATAGCAGGTGCTAGGAATTAAGAACACATTGCTGCTGGCCCTTTCTAGTGGCAGTTTCACCACATCTATCTAGCCAAAGGGAAAGGCTGCCTTGCGTGCACGAGTGCACCAGGAGACACAAGAAAGAGGTTGGTCCATTGCTTCAGCATAACTGATGGCAACCTATAGGCTCAGCGGTGTCCAGGGTAGTTTAAGGAAGCTTGGCCAGAGCGAAGGAGGATCGTGGGACAGTTACTGACCCTCCATGGCCAGGAGGTTGTGACTGGAGGGCACCATGCCCTCCCTCTCTGCGAATTCCAGGATTGCCTTGTAGCAAAAATAGTACTGCTCAGGGGTCTGGATGCTGAAGGCCCTCTGGGTCCTCATGCGGGACACTGTCTGGAATACATTAAGGGTGCCAAGCTCTTCCAGCTGTGCCAGGCAGATGTCCAGTGAGCAGAAGGTACCTGAAGGAAGGAAAGAAATGGTCACATTTGACTTATCTCTCCTCCATCCCTCCCTCTACCAAATGACCCAGACAGATTGGATGAATGCACTCAAAAGCAAGGGGCCCCATGATGGACCGGTGGGCATTAGGCCTGACGGGATTCAAGAGGAGGTCACTTTGGAGTGCTGGGAGCCCAGAGAAGTGACAAGGCCTCTTGGCTCTCAGGACAGTATGGAGGTAACAGGAAGAGTAGGTGGGAAGGTGACAGAGGAACTGCCTGCTTCAATCTCAGACAGAATGACAACATTCCCACTCTTGGGTCCTAATTTTCAGAGACTCCACAACTCTTCCACAGAGACCTCACAGAAACCTATTCTTCCCGACTTTGTCCCAAAGGGGCCTCTGAACTAGAAAGCCCAGCAGTCCCTGCAATGCACATGTCCCTGAGGTAAAAGCTACGAACTAGCTCCAGAATGAGAGCACAGCTCAGGTGGGGATCTCCTTAGGGAGGGGGATGGGAAGGAAGCAACAGCCCAGCTGAGCTCTCTGGAACACCCAGACGACAGTGAGGGGGTCAGAAGATAATCATGCTGATGGGATGTGCCAACCCCCAGGGGACTGGCCTCTGGAGTGTACATTCTGGCCCGCACAGCTGGTGCTAGGGATGCCAAACGGCCATTAAAGGGGAATTTTTCATGGCAATTCACTGCCAATGGATCAAATTCTTGCAAACTGGCAAGTAAGAGTGTTGTTGTCTTTCCCCCACCCTTATTACCTCTGGATGCTCTGAGAGCTGCCCCAACGTCAGGTGCATTACCTGTCCGGCCAATGCCTGCACTGCAATGGACGACAATGGGTGGTTCAGGGCACTGCCCTTTGGCTCGTACTCCCATGCTGCTGACCGCCAGCCTCTGCTGGTTCCTGACCACTCTCAAGAAGTCGATGAGAGAAGCTGCTGAGGAAGGGACACCGTAATCTGGCCAGCTCAGGAACTGAAAGTGGGTCACCTGGCGTTTCTGCCGCTCCTTGGATGAGAAAAGAAGCCAAGTTAACAGGTCATTTCTGCTTGCCCCTGACCACATACATTTAGCTTTTCTAGATTCTCAACCCTCTTGATATCCTCACCACGCAGGCTCCTGCCTACCACCCTCAACTTTCTCCACAACTGCTTCTCTGCAAACCCAGAAAAGGTTAAATGTCGGGAGAGGACAATATAGGAATTCCCTATATTGTAGGACCCAGATTTCTATTATGTTTCTATTCCCAAGTAATGTCACTGTTGCATCGAGACAATATGGCTATATTGGCTGTTAGCTGAATATTCTGATCCTGTTCCCAGAAAAACGAAAGTAATGTATAAGCTGCCTGGATTCTTGCCTATTCCCTTTGGGGATTTTCTTTACAGCAAAGCCCCCAGCGTAAAAAAAAAAAAAGTGAGATAACAGAAACCAGGATTTACCTCTGTGTTGTGAATTTCTAGCGTTGTTTTCTTATAATGGTTCATGTTCTCCACGCCTAGATTGGTCACCGTGAGGAAGCCAAATCGGATCCGAGAGTCTCTTTCTAACGGCCAGTACTGGCCACACTTTCTCCTGCCACCCTCCTCAAAGCTGAAGACAACACAGAGCAAGGTGAGCCTTCCACCCTTTGTCCCCACAGCCGGGAGCTGCTGTCCCTATGATCTGCTGTACCCCAAGCAGCAATGTCATTTCTTGCATCATTTCTAACTTACACCTTGCTTCTTGGCAGAAAAGGCAGAAACCTTCATTCTAAACAGATGCAGCAACAGCTAAGGTTTCTGCATGTACTCATTTAGAAGACATTTATTGGGTGCCTGCTACACCATCTGGCACCTTTTCTGATACCTCTTGCTACTCCTCACTTATCCAGGATAAATACTGGGTGGACAAAAAGAGACGTCAGAGCCAATATGGGGGGCCGGATTGAACTCTCTGCCCTGTATCTCAGCCACTGTTCATTCTCTTCCCCAGTAAGGGCCCTTGACTGAGAGAAGTGGGAAGGACACAGTTCCTGGGAAGCCAGCAGGAGGTTTGTGAAAAGGTCTAAAATCTACCTCACTGCTCCTAGGTGGCTCCAACGTGCTCCAAGGTGGTACCGTACTATCACCTCTCTAAAGCAAAGGTGGTTGTAACTGTGCCATGAGAAAGGGAACTGAGCAAACATTTTCATTAATTTTTTCCTCCTCATCTGAAACAGGTTATAATTATCATAATGATAATGATGATACTAATGAACTTTTAGTTCCTCAAGTTTTGGCAGGTATGTAGACCAAAATTTCAAAAGGATTCCTTTCATCAAGAGCTTCCTGCCTGATCTATTATGTTCCATCTCTCTTTTTGCAGTTCTCTTATAGGTGGAAATACAAATGAGTTGGAAAACTGTCAGAAGTAGCAGGGAAGGGGAGAGCAAAGGGGAACTGGTAACTCAGAAGCCAGGAAGACAGCTGCCCTTTGGAAGTGGGGAACAAATTAAAAGTGAATTGCCCCACGTTTCCCGATACTTCCTTTAGTGGATGCGGCCAGGACCTCAGAATAGCTTGTAACTGGCACAGGGTCACCAGAGCCAAGGACTAAAACTTCGACAAGTTAGATTAAAGCTGTGACAAGTTAGATCTATCAATCTCCACCATAACCTATGTTAATTCTGGGTCAACTAAGAAAAAGCTAAAACATCTCAAACTCTTTGCCATGGCTCTCCTAATCTTCATTGTTCTACAAGCTAAACTCCCCTCCTGACTCCCCCATGCTTGGGGACGCGGTGGGGGCAGAGGGAAGAAAGGGGACGAACTCACCGGGTGGTCATGACAATCACCAGGACTTTCTGCTCCCATACCATGAGCCAGAAATCACGATAGGTATTCTCCAAAGGGCCTGGGATGAAAGGATAAGACAAAGATCATAACCCTGGGAAGCTCTTCTTTCCTTCTCAGGCATTTCTGGTTTTATTCCCCAACTAATATCTCCAAAGCACAGACGCTGGCTCCCTGTTCTCCCTCCATCCCTGCTGAATCAGGGTGGTCCTTAAACCACCAGTGCCAGCATTATATGAGAGAGTGTTAGAAATGTGCAATCTGCATTTTAACATGGTCCCAGGTGCAGCTGTAGGTAGGTTACCGTTTGAGAAATACTGTTATATACCTTCTCAAGAGCCTTATGATCAGGGCTTCAGCTGATGTCACATCCAGACGGTGTCACCTATATTCACACCTCTAGCTGTTTTCATCTCCCCAGAGCCTTCCAGTCATCAGTAGCCTACAGAACCACTCCCCTTCTATGTTCCATCATGGGTCTCCTTAGACTCAACGTGCTTGCGATTCATTCTCTCTCATCAAAATTAGCCTTCTCTGCCTGCTTTCCTTCCCTCTCTACTTTCCCATCTCTGTTAACAGTACTGGCATTCTTAAATCACTCAGTCTTAAAAAGTTGGGAGTCAACCCTAAATTATCCATTTCCTTTATCTTCGCGACGCAGCCACCAAGTCCTAGAGATTTTTTGCCTTTGGATTGTTTTTAGTTTTTAGCGTTCTCCCCGTCTCCTGACCCAATTTCACTGCCACAAGGACATCATTTTTGTCTAAATTACTGTAATACCATTTTGGTTTATTTTTCTGAATAGGACTCTTTCTCTTCCAGTCTATTCTGGATACTCCTGGCCAGCTGCAGCTTTCTAAAAACTTGCTTCATCATAATATAGCCAGCTCTTGATGGCACAACTGGATCACAACAGCTTAATCATTTAATGTATGTGGTCTTACATCAGTTATTTTACTTTGGGAGAATTAATCATGTCTCAGCAAACATGGTGCTAAGGGTAAGAGTCACGTTGCTGAGCTGTTCTTTTACAGTTAGAACCTTCACAGGGCTGGGCATCCGGGGAAACTTTGAAGATACTTGTGCACCACCAACTCCCCTTCAATCGAGGAAGTAACAAACTTGGGATAATTCCCTGTACTTTCACAGTCCTTTTTCCTCTCTGCTTTCAGGAAAGAAGGGCGGACTTTTGATTTTGTCCTGGAAGTCTGCTGGCTTTACTACCATTTTTGCTAAAGGCTTTAAGCAGCATTAGTGTTTTATGATTCTAGAATTCCCTCTTGGCAGAAGTGGACACTGCCAAAAGCACGTGAGGTCTTGGAAATAAGCTAAATGTCTACCAAGAGAGGATAAATTAAATGATGGCATATCCTCGATTTAAGTAGCCCATAAAGGTGATATTGTAAGATCTGTTATTTTTGCTATGGAAAGGTATTTGCAAGATACCATCAAATGAACAAGAGGTAACATATGGAAAGAGCCCATCTTGTTAGAGATCTTCTATGTCTATATCTATTTGTTTGCACAGAAAACGGCTTGGAAGGAGATGCTACAGAATATTAACGTTATCTCTGGGTCTCAGGGTTATGAGTGAATTTCATCTCCATCTTCTAAGTATTCTACAGCGCACGTACATTACTGTAGTACGCATGTGCAGATAACACGAGCTCCCTTTCCCATCTCTGACCCCGGGCCTTGTCCACGTCCTGTACCACAGCAGCACTCATGCCTTATTTTCCACATTCACATCACTGGCAAAAATGGTGTTGCCAATCGGAGCAACTGACAACCTAGCTACCACTCAGACTCAGGCTTGGCCAAAAGGGGTCGTAATTTCCCCCAAGGCATAAGAAAGATTTAGAAGAGAAAGCTTTTCTTCCCAGAATACTTTTAACAGTGAACTTTTCTGAAGAACTCAAGTCAGTAGTTTATGCAGACATGGAGGAAACAATACAAGCCACTGACTTGGCTTGCAAGGACTTCTGAATCGAACAGACATACAGTCACATACCGGCTCTGCCGCTTACTACCTGTATGATCCCAAACTGCCTAACCTCTTTGGGTTCAGTTTGTTCATGGGTTAATAAACCTTCCTTGTAGAGTCTCTGTAATAGTTAGAAGAAGGTCATATACCTGATGTATAACGATACTCTCAATAGATGACATATTGTTTGTAGAAATAGTATTATTAATAAGAATCAAAATATTGAATACAGCCAAGAAAGTTAGCCAGGCAAATCAAATGAGCCTTCTCCACACCACAGGACCCCCTCTTCCAGTCCTAAGGGAGCCCTGATACTGTCTAAAGGTGATCCATGCTAGACTCAAAATATCTCTCTCATACTTTCAGGGGAGCTTCTTCTTCTTCTGGACAGGGCCTTCAAAGCCACCCTAAAGGATCCAATCCCGCATAATTAGCAACTCTGAGCAGTGGCTTTGCCTTCTAAATCTGGAGAAGGAAGCATTCTCAGGCACCCTAGAGCCAATCCTTACCCTCTATAAGCCCAACCTGCCAAGGCCATCCTCCTTCACAAAGCCTCCACTCTCAGGCAGATCACGTCATATCTTATATGCCCCAAATTTTTCCTGATAATTCTCATTTCTTCTTAGGGTGTTGAAAGGACTCCTTTTGGAGGGAGTGGTCCCTCCTAGGGGGAAAATATAAACCTGTGACCATGAGACCAATTAACAATATATCAGGAATCCATTTTTTTTCTCCTTAAACTTTTATTTTGAAAAATTTGAAACCAATGAAAAGTTGGAATACTACAATGTACTCAAATATTCTTCAGCCCTAAAGCTATCGTTTTTAGCTATCATTATACAACATTTTTTCTCTATATATGCATACACATACTTTTTATTACAGAACTATTTAAAAGTTAGTTCCAGCTGTTATGACATTTTATTCCTAAATACTTGGGCACATATTTAGAAGAACAAGGACTTTCCTATAGAACTATTAAGACCATTATCACACTGAAGCAATTAAATGTTGATATGATAATATTATCTAATACAGAGTCCCCAAGTATCCTAAGTTTGTCTTTAACAGGTTTTCCTCTAAACTGAAGCTCCAATGATGGGCACATGCCTTTGGTTATCATGTCTCTTTAGTCTCCTTCAATCTAGAAAAGTTCCCTGCCTTTGTTTTTCATGGCATGAACTTTGAAGAGAGTCTAAGCCAGTTTTCTTATAGTATGTCCTACCATCTGGATTTGTCTGGTTTATTTGTCATGATTAGATTTAGACTTAAAAACTGGCAACAAAAAATACAGGTTATGTTTTATAGTTCTCGCTCTATCACAACAGAGGCATAATACTTGTTTGTCCATTACTGGTGATTCTAAGTTTGATCACTTGCTAAAGAGGTATTTGCCTGATTTTTTGGTGGCCATGCTCTGCAATGGTCCAAGGGCCTAAAGCCCATAGAGTGGACTTGTATGTCCTCCTATGTTGTGATCTCTTCCTACCTGCTTGGAAGGCAACTTCATATTCTCCTTGAGATGGCAGAGGCAGAGGACTACTGGGGCCCACAGGAGCACTGAGTGCTCTCTGATGGTACAGGGACCAGCAAGAGTCTCTCAGGACAGCAACACCCTTTCAGATTGGACTCAATCTCTGAGAAGTCCCACTGCCATTCCTGGCCTCCTAATGGACATAAAGAGCATCTCACAGCCAGTCCGTTCTCATGTCCCATTCTCTGAGGCTGGCAATACACAGTCCAAAAACTTGTAGTAGTGTTGTATGTTCAAATCTCCAGTTTATGTCTATGCAGCAAGTTTCCAGGCATATCTGGTACAGAAACTCCATACCTCCCCTCTGCCTTCTTCCTCAATAGCCCCCAATCTTTATAAAAGGCCAGGATCTAGTGGCCAACATCACCTCAAGTTACCATATCCTTCAAAAACTACACAATCATCTGGTGCAAGAAATCACAGAGAGATGACACAAAACCAAGTTGTAAGGGTCACCCTAACTTACCTTGTGTACCAATGTAAGCATTCTTCTGCTTGTAGCCATCCATGAAACTGGCATTGATGTAATCTGTCTAATGATAAAAAAAGAAATATCACTGCAGCTGTTTGGAATATACTATTTGGGTGGGAAAATTACGTACTAGGTACTAGGATAAAACCCAAAGTGTAGATAGATATTCTCTTCTCATCAGGCAGAAAGTGAGGAGCAAAAGGATCAGTTCAAAACTTTACTTCTACAAATGTTACCAGAACAACTAGATATCCACATACAGGAAAGGAAAAATCAAGCTGGCCTCTTCCTAACACTAAACACAAAAACTAACTCAAAATGGATCACAGCCCTCATGTAGGACTAAAATTATAAAACTCTTAGAAGAAAATATAAGATTAAATCTTTGTGATCTTGAGTTAGGCAAAGCCTTCTTAGATATGACACCAAAAGTACAAGCAGTAAAAGAAAAAAGATTTGTTGAACAACATTAAAACTGAAAACTTCTGTGCTTTAAAGGACACCATCAAGAAAGTCAAAAAATCTACAGTTGCACTTTCTGGTAAGGGATTTGTATCTAGAATATATAAAGAACTCTCATAGCTAAATAGTAAAAAGACAACCCAATTTTAAAATGGGCAAACGGGGGTGTGGGTGGGGGTGACTGGGTTGCTCAGTCGGTTAATCTCTTAATCTCAGCTCAGGTCATGATTACAGGGTCGTGAGTTCAAGCCCCGCACCAAGCTCCATGCTGGGTATGAAGTCTAGTAAAAATAAATAAATAACTAAAAATAAAATGGGCAAAAGATCAGAATAGCCATTTCTCCAAAGAAGATATACAAATAGCAATAAGCACATAAAAATACGCCCAATATCATTAGCCATCAAGGAAATGCAAATCAAAACTCCAGTGGGGGACCCAGGTCAAGCATCCAAATCTTGTTCTCAGCTCAAGTCTTGCTCTCACTGTTATGAGTTTGAGCCCCACACTGGGCTCCATGCTGGGCATGGAGCCTATTTAAAAAAAAAAGTGAAAAGTCAAAACCACAATGAGATATCACTTCATACCCATTAGGATGGCTACAGGTACAAGATGGAGGACAACAAATGTTGGCAAAGATGTGAAAAAATTAGAACCCTCATACACCCCTAGTGGGAATGTAAAATGGTGCAATCATGTTTGAAAACAGTCTGTCAATGCTTCAGAAGGTTAAACACAGAGTTACCATATGATCCAGCAATTCTACTCCCAAGGGAAATGAAAACATATGTCCACAGAAAAACTCACAAATATTCATAACAGCATTATTCATAATGCCAAAAATGGCAACAACTCAAATGGTATTCACCTGATGAATCGATAAATAAAAGAAGCATATCCATATATTTAGCAATAAAATGAAGTCCTGACATATGCTACAAGACAGATGAACCTTGAAAACATGCAAAATGAAAGAAATCAGACACAAAGGCCAAGCTGTATGATTCCATTTACATGAAATGTCCAAATGAGGTAAATCTACAGAGACAGAAAGTACAGAGACTAGGAGAAAAAGGGGTGTGACTGCCAAGGGCCATTTTTCAGGTGATAAAAACATTCTAAAGTTGATTGTGGTGGTAGTTGTACAACTCTATGAATATATTTAAAAACACTGAGTTAGAGGTGCCTGGTGGCTCAGTCAGTTAAGTGTCCAACTCTTGCTTTTGATTCGGATCATGATATCGTAGGTCATGAGATGAGCCCCTTTTCGGCTCCATGCTCAGCAGGGAGTCTGTAGAAGATTCTCTCCCTCTGCCCCTCTCCCACTTACGCAAGCCTGTGCTCTCTCAATAAGTAAATAAATAATCTTAAAGAAAAACAAAACCACTGAATTATACATTTTATTTTTTTAAGATTTTATTTATTAGACAGAGAGACACTGTGTGTGTGATGGGGTTGGGGGAGGCAGAGGTAGGAGAGAATCTCAAGCAGACTCCTTGCAGAGTAAAAGCCTGATTCAGGGCTCTTAATCCCATGACTCTGAGATCATGATCTAAGCCAAAATTAAGAGTCAGACGCTAGACCAATTCAGCCACCCAGGCACCCCTATACACTTTAAATGGGTAAATTGTATGGTATGTGAATTACATCTCAATAAAGCTTTTACCAAAAAAGCAGTCTATCAGGATTTGTAGCACTGGTTCAAAACCAAAAGGGAGGCAAGCCAAGCAACCTGAGCAGGAACATCCTGTCCATGCTGTCACACACAAAAAGCAAAGTGTGACTAGAGAAGGAAGAAAGCTATACCTCATATCTTGCACCATCAACAGCATGGGCCAAACACCCTGCCTCCTTCACTAAGCAACAGCCAGACAAATTCAGAAAGTCTCAATGAACAGCTCTTGACTCATTCTCTTCTGGGGGCCCTCTCTCATCTCCTAGTCTCCTCAGTCTTATTTCAAAATCATTAGCTATCAGGAAAATTAAATAGAATTTAATTTTTATTATTTTTATTATACCTTCTCACAAGATCTCTGCCAACATCCTTGATGATAATCCAAGCTGATAAAAGAGAAACACAGATGCAGCTACAGTGTCAAGTCATAGTATAATCAGTTGAGAGTATCTAGCAGGTGCTATGAATAGCAGAGGATGAGGAGGGGTACAGAAGGACAAAAGACAAAAAGTTTCAATGTCAAACTAGAGAAAACTCATACTCCACTCCACTCTACAGAGGTTGGAGTGACTCCCTAACCTGTCACCTTTTCACTGGGTTCTATCACTGGGAGGACAGTCTGACCTGTCAGTATCCACAGCCACCCTGAGAAGACTCTTTTCTCCGTCTCATGGTCAAACCCATGTTCCTTGGATTATGTGTCTGTTAGCCAGTCTACCAACTTATACGACCACTAATTATTTAGTCAAGAGTTTCCTGCTTTCTCCTTCCACAGCAGTCAATACTGACCTCATACCATTATGTTCTACTCTGACTGAGACATCTTCGCTGAGCTAAGGGACCATCTCCAGAGGACCCAGCAGGTTAAGACTCTCATTCACTCCCAGCCACGCTGCTCATACCAGGGCGCACTGTAGTCAGCCAAAGCTATACTCTGCTCAGCCTGGCACATTCAAGTGGTATACCCTACAGGACTCAGGCGAGAAGGCGTAGAAAAATACAAAGGATTTACCTGGTACATGCCAATTGATGCTATTATATAAGTAGTGTATAAGCTGTTACTCTTGAACTGCCTTCATGTTTTGAAAAGAAATATCACCTTTTATTTTTTATTTTATTTATTTTTAAGATTTTATTTATTTATTCATCAGAAAGAGAGAGAAAGAGGGAGGCAGAGATACAGGCAGAGGGAGAAACAGGCTCCATGCAGGGAGCCTGACATGGGACTCGATCCCGGGTCTCCAGGATCACACCCTGGACCGAAGGTGGTGCTAAACTGCCTGAGCCACCCAGGGCTGCCCAGGATACCAGCTTTCAATGTCCTTGAGAGCACTGGGAATTAAAATCAGCAATTTCAGAAGAATCATCAGAAATTGGAACTGAAAATGACCTCAGAGATAAAGTATAGATTTGGGGGCAAACTGAAATACCAGAGAGAAGCAAACAAAGTGCACTATGTTACGGGCCAGGTTCAATAGAAACTGTGACTAATCGGTTTATAATTCTAGGAGTAAATCTAGTGAACAATTCACTAATAAACCTGAATCCTCCATTTACTATGGAAATAAAGCTTCTGCCAATATTTGCAGTAATGAAACAAGCTTAACTCAAATGACAATCTTTAGATTAATTATAGGATGGCTAGAATAGTCTGCTGGTACACTGGGATTCACTTATTCATTCACAAATAATTTACTGAAGGGAAGCCTGGGTGACTCAGTGGCTGAACATCTGCCTTTGGCTTAAGGCATGATCCCGGAATCCCAGGATCAAGTCCCACATCGGGCTCCCTACATGGAACCTGCTTCTCCCTCTGCCTGTGTCTCTGCCTCTCTCTCTGTGTCTCTCATGAATAAATAAATAAATAAAATCTTTAAAAAAAATAATTTACTGAAAGTCTGATATGTACTGTTCTAGGTACTGGAGACAGAGCAGTCAAGAAGACAGATAAATACAGGTATCTGATTCCAGAGCCCCAGCTCAACCATTACACTTCACTTCTTGAGAGTATATACCTGAAGATCTCAGGAACAGTGATAAGCTTGTCCTAAGTCAGCCGGGCTCTGAGCTAATGCTCCTGCAGGAAAACCCTTTGTAAGGGTCCTAGATAGGGCTATGAATTCGGTTTATGTACTTTGAAACAGTAGGGTCAAGAGATTAAAATCATGATCCTAGGGTCTCAACTCACATATCATATACACTCATATACAAGGCAATGATTTTCCCCTAAAAAAAGAGACAGGATATAACAAGTCCCTATAAAGTTAAAGGGGCACTATTTAAATTCCTTTACTTTGAATAACAGCCTGAATCAATGCTGGTTTTTTGATGCATATGGAGGGCACCAGACAGAATTATATATACAAAGAAAAAAGACGCCTGGGTGGCTCAGAGGTTGAGCATCTCCCTTCGGCCCAGGGTGTGATCCTGGACACTTGGGATCGAGTCCCACATCGGGCTCCCTATGGGGAACTTGCTTCTCCCTCTGCCTGTGTCTCTGCCTCTCTCTCTCTGTCTCTCATGAATAAATAAATAAAATCTTTTTAATTAATTAATTAATTAATTTTTAAAGAGTTACATGTGAAGAATTTCACTAAATATCTATACTAGTATATTATATATGTGATTTTTAATATGAACAAATATGATCAAGTTAATATATTAAATAATATAATCATTTGACCATTTCAACTCTATTCCTATTTATGTGTACATTAGTTGTCTAAAATTATTTTTAGATCTTCCAGATAAAAGAATCATAGGTCACTTATAACTAGAGTTGCCTTGTATTGATACATATGTACTCACTAATATGATGGACAGTAAGAGGACTATAATTTTACAACTAAGGAGTAAAAGGAGAAATAATTGACATTTATCAAGCACTTATAATATACCAGACCTTGCACTATTAGCATTTACATAATTTTTTCCATTTAATTTTCACTTAGTACTGTGAGATGGGTTTACAGGGACTTGCTTATGGTAAAAGACTAACTCGTAAATAGCAAAGTTAAAACTCCAATCTGATCTCTCTGGCTTAGAGTCCATGCTCTTTCTACTATGGTATTAGTAAGCTTCACTTTGGAAAATTTCCCTCAGTGCTCCTGAAAAGACAGCATTTATCCATGTACCTGAGTGTGGCCACTTCGTTTTGTCAACTTCACTCTAGTTTGGTCCAGGCAGGGTACATCCCCATAGCGGTTCTTCTCTAGGTTTCCTGGAGACCTGAAGAAAATGAAGCAGACAAACTAAAACAAAGACAAGAAAAGGTGGAAGCAACATGTATGTGTACATACAAAGTCTGGTCGGTCGTGCAAAGGTGTCAGCTACTGTCAGTGTTGGAGACATGGGGCTGTCATTGCCTAGTCTAGCCGTACTGTATGTATCACTGAACATTTTTTTTCACTGAACATTTTTAAAGTTAAATGTTTGCCCTTCAAGAGAAAGTCTGTCAATCTCAGATCTATGAGATCCAACCAGACTGACAGAAATAGTCCAGAAAGAGAGAACTGACATAAGGAAAGAGAGAATGAAAAACAATTCCCTCTTCCCACACAAATAAGTGCAGCTGATATTTTACAAAGTCCCAAGAACAATTCAATGGAGGAAGAAATTTTTTTGCAAACAGTGCTAGAACAATTGGATATCCACAGGCACGTGCAAGGGCATGCACACACACACACACACACACACACACAAACCACACACACAAAATCAACATCAACCTAAACCTTAAACCTTATACAAAAATTAACTTAAATGGATCACAGACTTAAATAAATGTGAAACATAGCACTACAAAACGTTTAGGAAAAAAAGAAGAAAATCTCTGGAATCTAGGGTTAGATGTTCTTAAACTTGACGTCAAGAGTGTGATCCATACAAGGGAAACGTGATTAAAGGACTTCATCAGAATAAAACCTCATGCTTCATAATGAGCCATGCTAAGAAGATGAAAAGACCAGCCACAGACTAGAAGAAAATATCTGCAAATCGTGTATCCAACCAAGAACCCATATCTAGGATATATTAAAAGACTCAAATCTTAACAGTTAAAAAAAAATGTCCAACTAGAAAATGGGCAGAAGGCATGACATTTTACAAGAGGATATACAGATGGTAAATAAGCACATGAAAAGATGTTCGATATCATTAACTATTAGGGAAATGTAAATTATACCCACAATGGGACTTCATTACACACCTAACAGGACAGTTAAAATAAAAAATGGTGACAACAGCAAATGCTGGTGAGGATGCCAAGAAACCGGGTCATTCATACACTGCTGGGTGTACCTTGAATGGTACAGCCACTCAGGAAAACAGCTGGGCAGTTTCTCATCAAACCAAACTTCTTTTTTTTTTTTTAAGATTTTATTTATTTATTCATGAGAGACAGAGAGAGAGAGGCAGAGACACAGGCAGAGGGAGAAGCAGGCTCCATGCAGGGAGCCTGACGTGGGACTCGATCCTGGGCCCCCAGGATCCCACCCTGGGCTGAAGGCAGCGCTAAACCGCTGAGCCACCAGAGCTGCCCTCAAACTAAACTTCTAATTACCATATGACCTAACCATCTTGGGCATTTATCCCAGAGCAATGCAAACTTACGTTCACACAAAACCTAGACACAAACATTCATAGCAGCTTTACTTGCAAGCACCAAAAACTCTAAATAACCTAGATGTCCTTAACAGGTGAGTGGTTAAACAAACCATTCATACCATGGAATACTACTTAGTAACAAAAAGGAATGAGCTACTGATACATGTAACAACTTGGGTGAATCTCCAAGGAATTATACTGAGGGAGGAAAAAAGCCAAACCTAAAAGGTTACATATGATTCCATTTTTATAACATTCTTTTTTTTAAAAAGATTTTATTTATTTATTCATGAAAGACACAGAGAGAGAGAGAGAGAGACAGAGAGAGAGACGCAGACACACAGGCAGGGGGAGAAGCAAGCTCCATGCTGGGAGCCTGATGTGGGACTTGATCCCAGGTCTCCAGGATCACACCCCGGGCCAAAGGCAGGCACCAAACCACTGAGCCACCCAGGGATCCCCTATAACATTCTTGAAATGAAAAAAATATAGTAAATGGAGACCAGTTTAGTGCTTGCAAGAGTTAGGGATGGGGAGGGCTGAAATTGAGGTATGTGATGATGTACTTCTATATCGACTGTGGTGACTGATACACAAAGTAAAATGCAGGCTAAAAATTGCATAGAACTAAATACACACACACACACACACACACACACACTCGCCCTAAAATTGGGGGAAATCTGAATAAGACTGGTGGGTAATATTAATATCAATATCCTGGTTGTGATACTATATTATACTTTTAAAAGATGTTACCATGGGAAAACTTTGGAAAGGGTATGTGATCTCTCTATTATTTTTTATAAGTTCATGTGAATCTTCAATTATAATAAAAAGATAAAATTTTAAAAACCACTTTTTGAAAAAATGGTGTAAGGGAGAAGAGAAAAGAGAAAGTCTCTTGGTCCATGGGCATTCTGGCCAACAAAGAGTAGTGATATCTACTCCATAATCTAGAACTCCAAGGGGGACATAGTTTGTTCTGTGTAAGTACTTTTACTGGAACCCAGTATAGGACAGAGACCTGGAGCTGATGAGGATTCTGGGTTCCAGCTCCTGAAGTGGAGGGCTCATTCATTCAATACAGTCAGGATTAAGAAGTCCTTCCATAGGACTGGAAAGTGTTCTCTGATTATAACATGAGGGCTGATGCTAAGAGGACAATCAAAACCTGCTTTTTTAATGGGGGTGGGGGAAGGAAGATGGTAGAAATGCCATCTCAAGGGCCTCACAGCAGGAGTAACCAGAACGAAGTTAGGAATCCCCAAGACAAGTATGCATCCTCTTGGAGCAGCCCAGTAATATTCTGCTCCATAATACTTCCCTGATTCAAAAGTATAGGGGATAAAACTCTTTGGGAGAAAGACTGGGTGCATATGGGGGCTGTGAGCTAAGAAAGAAACACCTGGGGGAATCCCTGGGTGGCTCAGTGGTTTAGCGCCTGCCTTCGGCCCAGGGCCTGATCCTGGAGACCTGGGATTGAGTTCTGCATCGGGCTCCCTGCATGGAGCCTGCTTCTCCCTCTGCCTGTGTCTCTGCCTCTCTCTCTCTCTGTGTCTATCATGAATACATAAATAAAATCTAAAAGAAAAGAAAAGAAAAGAAAAGAAAAGAAAAGAAAAGAAAAGAAAAGAAAAGAAAAGAAAAGAAAAGAAAAGAAAGAAACAGCTGTGTGGGGAAAATGATACTCCCTCCACTCTGATATACACTCTGCTTTCTTGTGTTTTTTTTCTCTTACTTTCCTTTGCATTCTTGCTCTGCCTATTGCCTTTCTTCTCAAATGTTTCTTCTCTCTTCTCTTATCTCTTTCCTAACTCATTCTTTACCCTCTTTCCTTTTGCTAAGTCTCTCTCCCTGCAGCTTCTCCCCAGCCACTGACTAAGCTGGACAGGAATTAAGAGTAAAAGGAGGTATTCACAGAATCATGGATTCCTAAAACATTTAAGCTACAGAAGTAGGTGGGTATCAGTCTAACATCACCTATTACAATAGAAAAACTGGAGTGCAGGCAAGAGAAATAACTTGCACAAATCGCAGAAGGGATTTTTGGTTATACTGGAACTTGAGCCTGGGATAGGTTTCTCTAATTTTCAACAGAGAGAAATTTCTGCTGCAGCCAGTGAAAACAGGGTAAAATAAGAGCAACAGTAAGAGAAATGATCTACACTCTACGGCCAACAATAGTTACCAAGTAATTATGAACCATTTATAAACTAGCCAGGTGGGATCCCTGGGTGGCGCAGTGGTTTGGCGCCTGCCTTTGGCCCAGGGCGCGATCCTGGAGACCCTGGATCGAGTCCCACATCGGGCTCCCGGTGCATGGAGCCTGCTTCTCCCTCTGCCTGTGTCTCTGCCTCTCTCTCTCTCTGTGACTATCATACATAAATAAATAAAAATTTCAAAAAAAAAAATAAAATAGCCAGGTAATTCTATAGTAGGATTTGGATAGAAGGAAAATCGCACAAGACCAAACTCCTAAGAGTTAACTCTTTTCTCCTACTGTGGATTATTTTAAACACACCAGCACCTCTCCCCTAGGAAAGTAATGGTATATTATAAATGCTCTAGGGAGAAACTGCCTACGTGAAAGGACAGATGATCACACTGAACATACATTTTTATTTTTTTTCCTAAAATCCCTTGCATTTCATGAAAATATTAAAAAATGCATCCATTATTACATGGTTCCTCTGTTGGTACTAAAGGCCTTCAGAAATTCAGAATATACCAAAGCAGGAAGTACCTCTTTCTGGATGAGAGAACCATCATCTATGTGAAAGTGATGCTCCTTGACATAAGGAAGCTCCTCTGTTATGGAAATGAGATCTGGAAGGAGCTGCTGACAGCACACACCAGAGGCATGTTGGTAACCCACTGTCGGCCCAAACCTTTCCTACTTACATAGAACAGTGGAAAGTGCCAACAGGGTTCTCACGGCGGATGTCTTCATACTCCTCATATATCCCACGCTTTTGCCTGGTGCTAACATAGTCCATCAACTCTTGGATGGTCATTGCGTGGGGACCTGGAACATGTACTGAGTCCCAGTCTAAGGCAGGAGGGAGGGAGAACATGATGATCTCATCGAAGGGATCTGGGTGGCCGTTCATCTGGGGTAGGAACTGGAAATTCCAAGTGGCAAGGTCAATTTTGACGTATCCACCCAGGTTTTCTGGAAGGCACTCCCTGGGCAGGTGCTGGGTGACCTCAGATGTCTTTAATATCTGAATCTGGAAGGCCAGAAAGAACCACGTGAGTATGGACAGGAAAAAAATATATAGATAATGAAGATAAAGAACAAATGTGTTTATATTCAGTTTGAAGAATGGGATGAGATTTGTTTGAAATACTTGGTATACTTATAAAAGAAGGAGACTGCATTGCATCCACCCAGTATTAAAGTCCTATAATTTCCCCAAAGGTTTCACTCCTAGAATTTGCCTCCCACCCTTCTTAAGATTTTGTTTTTAAGTAATGTCTACACCCAATGTGGAGCTCAAATACACAACCTCAAGATCAAGAGTCATGTGCTCTACTGACTGAGTGACCTAGGTGCCCCAAGGGCCCTTTTATAATCCTTGAAAGGAAGGTACAGTGAACAAAGCCTTTATGGTATTAACAAGGCTTCCCAGTGACATCTCATGCAGGTATTTGGCTTTTTGACTACTAAGAATACACAGGTAGTAATTCTTCTTGGTCAACCCCATACTAAGGTAACCAACTCTAAGCTTGGTGCTTTACTCACAGCTCAGCAGAGATGTTCTCAAAGATAGCTTTCTAAGGAAGTAACACAAGACCAGTCACCCAGATACAGATAGCCCAGGAAAATGGCCAGAAAAGAAATCTTAATTCTGCTCTTTGCTTAAACGCAGCCTTACTGGACCAAATTGGCCTAGTTGGTTTTCCATGAAATCTGTGTAAAATGGGAATGCTGGTCTCTCTTGCTGTTGCCTCTTCTTGGAATGCTCTCTTTTCCTCCTCGGCTTCTTCACAGACCAGCTTATAAAGCTCACCTCTTCTGTGAAGCCTGTCCCTGACTGCTGGATACAATATCCTCCTCTGTGCTCCTGCAGGGCCATAGTTCTCTGTACACGTCTACTTCTGTGTTCTCTATCAGGACCATAAGATCCTCAAGGGTAAAGAAAGCCTCACTCCATTTTTATTTTTATTTATTTTTCTTTAAAGATTATTTATTTATTTATTCATGAGAGACAGAGAGAGAGAGAGAGAGAGGCAGAAGGAGAAGCAGGCTCCATGCAGGGAGCCTGACGTGGGACTCGATCCCAGGTCTCCAGGATCACACCCTGGGCTGAAGGTGGAGCTAAACCGCTGAGCCACCTGGGCTGCCCACCTCACTCCATTTTTAATTCCCACTCAGGGGATAGTAACAGAATTAAGATAATTTTAGACAACATTTTTAAAGTCAGGAAGCAACAAGCTATTTTAAGAGAAAATGCCAGGAAAGGAAGTTTTAGAAAGAGATACAGTGAGAGATTCTCCTCCACCACCCTGGTGGTCAATGAGATGGATTAGTATTTCCAATTGAACAAATTTAACCATCAGTTCACTAGGCTAGATTTTGGAAGGAGTAGCTACCGTAAGTTATCCACGGGACATACACCTTCAGTGCTATCTTTATGCGAGGTGCCATGGAAGGAAACTGCCAGACAAACTATATCTAGCTCCTAACTTCAAAGAACTTGTAGTAGAGTGGGAGAGGCAGCCTGTATTGACCTGAATAAAGAACAGAGAATATAAGTGGATACACTAACAGAAGCAGAGAGCACTTTAAGGAGACAGGCCAGAAGGATTTTATTGAAGGTAAAAAATTAATTGGTAGGTTTCAACAGTAGAAATGGGAAGTTTAGCACCTCCTCCAAATAACCACCTCCACCTACAAATAAAATAAAGCTTGCCTTACCCGCTCCCGGACTTTGTCCTTCAGGAGGAGGCTGATGATGGAATAGGGCACTCGGAACCATATTGGTGCTCCCACAATCAGTACTTTTTTCAAACGGGCAGGAAATGCTCCCTGTGGAGAACACACATGAAAATTTAAAGATATCAATTAAGGCACTGGAACCTGTGACTATTCAAACTCAGTGTAGGTTTTCTGCTCTTTTCCCCATCCTTACCCAGCAGGGGGAGTCTAAAGCCTAATTCAGGTGTCATTTCAGCAACTACAGAAGTGGTTAAAAATTTTTATTTTTTTTTTATTTTTATTTTTTTAATTTTTAAATTATACACCTGAAACTAATATGACATATTTTAACTATACTGGAATTAAAATTAAAAACTTAATAAGAAATTAAAAGGTGATTTACTTTTAAAAGTTACAATGTGTTCTTGTGAACATAAGCTTTATGGATCAAAAATTACACTGACTTTTGTCAGCATCTATATATGCATCTTTAAGTTCTGCTTATTGGGATGCCTGGGTGGCTCAGCAGTTAGACAACTGCCTTTGGCCCAGGGCCTGATCCTAGAGTCCCAAGATCGAGTCCTGCGTGGGGCTCCCTGCATGGAGCCTGCTTCTCTCTCTGCCTATGTCTCTGCCTCTCTCTGTGTCTCTCATGAATAAATAAATAAAATCTTTAAAAAAAAATTGGAAAGAATACATATGTCTGAAAATGGGTAGGGGTTAACAAAAATGGTATTATAAAAAGATTATTTTAGGGGATCCCTGGGTAGCTCAGCGAATTAGTGCCTGCCTTTAAAATCTTTTAAAAAAATAAGAAAATTTAAAAATTAAAAGATTATTTTATAACCTTTAAACTGAAGATTAAAAATGAAGATTTCAGATTTTTTTGAAACTTTGGAAAATGCTCATTTTATAATCTTAGCTACACAGGATCAAAACTATAATCTTAATTTTTTTTTAAGATTTTATTTATTTATTCATGAGAAACAGAGAGGGAGAGGCAGAGACACAGGCAGAGGGAGAAGCAGACTCCATGCAGGGAGCGCGATGTGGGACTCAATCCTGGGACTCCAGGATCATGCTCTGAGCCAAAGGCCGACATTCAACTGCTGAGCCACCCAGGTGGCCCTTATTTTATTTTCTATAATACTTCACATTACTTCTATTTTTTTGAACCTCATTTAAAATGTTTATATCCTTTTTAAAAAGAAGTAATCTCTATACACAACATGGGGCTTGAACTCATGACCCAGAGATTGAATGTTGCATGCTCCACTGACTGAGCCAACCAGGTGCCAGTAAAATATTTATATCCGGGGATCCCTGGGTGGCGCAGCGGTTTGGCGCCTGCCTTTGGCCCAGGGCGCGATCCTGGAGACCCGGGATCGAATCCCACGTCGGGCTCCTGGTGCATGGAGCCTGCTTCTCCCTCTGCCTGTGTCTCTGCCTCTCTCTCTGTGTGTGTGACTATCATAAATAAATAAATAAATAAATAAATATAAATAAATAAATAAATAAATAAATAAATAAATAAATGTTTATATCCTTTGATCCGGTCATCCCACTTCTAGAAATCTACTTCAAATAAACTGTTTTATGTGCCAATAAAGATATGAATATAAAAGTGTTTGTTGAAAAAACTATTATAAAAAATGGGAAAAGTATTCAACAACATGGAATGGTTAAATAAATTATAGTAAATACAGGATAGACTATTATTCAGCAAATACAAATATTCATAAAATAAACTTGCTGGAACTTATTATATATTGAAATTGTATGAATATAATTCAAAACATATTGAAAAACATCTAGAAGAAAGTGCCATACACCAAAATGTCAACAGTGTTTAATTCTGCATAATATCAAAGAGAGTTGTTGTTTTTTTTAAGATTTTATTTATTTGAGCGAGCATGTGAGAGCACAAACAGGAGGAGCAGCAGAGGGAGAGGTAGAAGCAGATTCCCGCTGAGCAAGGAGCCCAATGTGGGGCTTAATCCCAGGTCCCTGGGATCATGACCTGAGCTGAAGGCAGATACTCAACCAACTGAGCCACTATGTGCCCCAAAGACAGTATTTCTTCTTAATATATATTAATCTGAGTTCTCCAAAATTTTCTATAATGAAAATTTTTTTTATTATAACAGTTTTTCAGTATAAAATATAAATTATGAAAAAATTTATCAGCTCAGGTTGTGATCTCAGGACCCTGAGAAACCAAGAGTCTGAAGCTTAATGGACTGTGCCACCAGGCGACCCAAAAAGTATAGCATTCTTGCATGGGAGATAATAACATTATAAAGATGTCAATTCTCCCTAAATTAATTTATTAATTAATTATATCCAAATAAAATCCAGAGTGTTTTATTTCCCTGAAATTGACTGAATGACTTTAAAGTTCATCTAATCAACAGATGATGATGGGGGTTCCTGGATGGCTCAGTCCAGTAAAACGTCTGCTTTCAGCCCAGGTCATGATCCCAGGGTCCTGGGATAGAGTCCCACGTTGGGATCTCTGCACATTGGGGAGGCTGCTTCTCCCTCTCCCCGCTGCTCATACTCTCTCTCTAGCTATGTCTCTCTCTCTCAAATAAATAAAAATCTTCAAAAAAACCCACAAAGATGATATTTTAAAAAAATTTTTTTCTCATCAGATTTAAAATTTGGAAAGTGGTTACCCTCTGTGCAATGGCACCAGGGTGTCTGAGAAAGGGGAATCAGAGACTTCTCCTTGAATTGCTTTTTAATTGCTTTTATAATAAAGAAAAGAACTAGGAGGTGTCTGGCTGGCTCAGTCAATAGAGCCACAACATTTTTCTTTTTTTTTTTTTTAAGTAATCTCTACACTCAACATGGGACTCAAACTCACAACCCCAAGATACAGAATCACACACCCTCCCCACCAACTAAGCCAGTCACACACCCCTGAGCATGCAACTCATGATTTTAGAGTTGTAAAGATTACTTAAAAATAAAGTAAGGGGTGCCGGGTGGCTCAGTCAGTTAAACATCTGCCTTCGGCTCAAGTCATGATCCCAGGGTCCTAGAATTGAGCCCTGCAGCAGGTTCCCTGATCAATGCAGAGTCTGCTTCTCCCTCTCCCTGTGCCACTCCTCCCCTTTGTGCTTTCTCTTGCTTACTCTCTCTCTCTCTCAAATAAATAAAATCTTTAAAAAAATTTTAAAGAAAGGCACACAAAAGTACATGCAAAAATAAAAATGCAAAAAATATAGTCAAAACAACTTTTAGAAATAAAAGAGTGTGAGAGGAAGCTTGTCCCACGAGATATTAAACTTTATTTAAGACTCTAATAGGGCAGCCCAGGTGGCTCAGAGGTTTAACGCCGCCTTTGGCCCAGGGTGTGATCCTGGAGACCTGGGATGGAGTCCCAGGTCAGGCTCCCTGCATGGAGCCTGCTTCTCCCTCTGTCTGTGTCTGTGCCTCTCTCTCTGTGTGTCTCTCATGAATAAATAAATAAAATCTTTAAAAAGAGAGAGAGAGAGAGAGAAAGAAAAAGAAAGAAAACAGCAGTATGATAAAAGACACCATAAAATTGAATAAATTGGAAACTATAAAAAATGTTGGTAACACATACTTAATAATGTCCCTCTCCCCATTCATGTGCACTTGCTCTTGCATGTGTTCTCTAAAATAAATATATAAATCTTTAAAATATTGAGTAAAGTATATGAGAAGAAAAAAATTTTTTTTAAGATTTTATTTATTTATCCATGAGAGACACACAGAAAGAGAGAGAGAGGGAGAGAGAGAGAGGCAGAGACACAAGCAGAGGGAGAAGCAGGATCAAAGCAGGGAGCCTGACGTGGGGCTCGATCCCGGGTCTCCAGGATCAGGCCCTGGGCTGAAGGCGGTGCTAAACCGCTGAGCCACCCGGACTGCCTGAAAAAAATACATTTTTTTTTCTGAAAAAACTTTTTAAATAGCTCTTGGCAATAAACATGAAAATACACTGAAGCTCATCAGTAATAAAAGAAACACCACAAAAACATGAATATGATTAAAAATCCAAATAATAAAACAATGTTGACAAGGCTGTTGATGGAAGTGTAAATTTAAACTACATTTTTAGAGGGCTATTTGGCAATATTTATCAAAGTTTAAATGTGAGAATTCTTTGACTCTACAAATCTGCTTATAGCAATTTATCCTGAGAAAATGGTCAAATAGACAATAATGTAAAACAAAGCTCACTGAAGCCTTTATAATAACACAAAAAAATGGCATGAACTTCATTTTTTCAGCTTGATATATCCATTTTTTCTGCTGCCATCAAAAAAAGTGAGGGAAAAAGTGCCTGGCTATCTCACCAGTAGAGCACAGAGCCCTCTATCTCAAGGTTGTGAATTCAAGCTCCCCGTTGGGTGTAGAGCTTACTTTTAAAAAGTGAAAGATAAAAGAAATGAGTAATAGCTATATATACTGACATAGAAGGATGACGAAGACACAACTGTTTAATAAAAAATGGCAAGTTATAACCACTAAATAGAGTATTACTCCATATTTGTAAAGGAAAAAAAATCATGTATCATCTTCATCAATTAAAAGAACTAAATCACAGCTAAATGCCACATTAGAGACTTTAGTAATATGATGATGAGTGACAAATGCCAAGTCCCAGAAAACAACATGCATTAATAATACCCTCTTTATCTACTGTTATAAAGCTATAGTAGCACTTCTAAAAATCCAGCTCCACAGTAATCCCAAGTTAGATCCTAGAACAAAGACTCCATAGACTCCTGGATCAATGACTTTCAAACTGCAGGTTGTCACTCAGTGGGCCTTCAAATTAATTTAGTACCTCAAGACTAACATTTTAAAAATATGAAATAGAATAATCAAAGTGATTACACCTAGTAAGAGGTAAAGCTTGCTTTGTAAAACTTTTTTGTTTTGTTTTATAAATACATACATAAAGATCTACACGCTCTCATCCTGGGACTTCGAAATCTAAATAGGTCTGAAAACCTTAAGTTTCTTTTGAAGTTTGGTTCAAAAATTCATGGAGCAGCAAAATCTGACCTAAAATGCCATAGACTGTTTTTAGCTTTTATTCTTCTCCACTCATTATAGATAATATATTTCAGGGACGCCTGGGTGGTCAGCAGTTGAGCGGCTGCCTTTGGCCTTTGGCCGGATTGAGGCCCACATCGGGCTCCCTGCAGGGAGCCTGCTTCTCCCTCTGCCTGGGTCTCTGCCTCTCTGTGTGTCTCTCATGAATGAATAAATAAAATCTTAAAAAGAAAATAATACATTTCATTGCAAAAATATTAATGTGTTTGATTATAAAGTGGCATATATACCATATTATCTTTTAAAGTTCAAAATATTATAAAATACCTCTGGACGTATGAGTGTGGGATAAGAGAGTAAGAACTTCTCTATATACAGAACTCCATACATATGTGTATAGGTTAATGTACATATAATCTTGTGTATGAAGTCAACATGTAAAACCTATTTCTGACTAGACTGAGACAAAAAAGTCTGAAAGTCATTGGCTAGGTGACATTTCTCAGACACTGGACATACCTAGGCCTTCATTAATTCTTATTCTACAAAACTCCAGGAAAGGAACAACCCACCTTTATGACTCAGAATGTTGCTGTGCATTTCCTTTTTTAATTTCTCCCACTCCACTTTTAAGACTGTTTTGTATTCGGAGGAAGCAAATATTAATCATCATTTACAGGTGACCTTTACACTCAACATAATGTCTGAAGTTTACATCATTCCTAAGCCTCCCAAAGAATAAAGTATCCTAAAAAGTGAAAGAGAGTTGAAGGGTCCTCTCACAGCCTTACCTTCAGCAGGTTTAGGACTTTCTTGCCAAGATCCAGCTCAAAGTTGGTATAATTAGAACCACACATGTCGTAGATAAACACCAGTCCATTCCTCTGAGTTTCGAAGCTGTAAACCAACCATTGAACAAACACACTTATAAGATGGAGAAGGCAGGCTGAAAGCCTAGGGCAAAGAGTATGGGACACATGCAGGACCAAAATAACTGCCTCTCTGAACACTGGCATCTTTGGTATGTATCTGCTATGCTTCTTGTGATATTACAATAAAAAATAAATATTTGGTCTTCAACCTGGTTGCTGGCACCAAGTTGCTTTAAAATTCTTGGAATTTCCTAAGTGAATTTCAAGTGTCTTTTGTGATGTTAATGAGACAACTAGAAGGCCCACAGGTCACCTACGGAAGGGGGTGGTTGCCAGGGGAACCAACCGAGGGACAGGAGAGGGTTGGTACTTCCCCTCCCCCACTTCCAGGGAAAGGAAAGGGACGAGGGATTGAGGTGAAGCTCAAACGGCTGTTGATTTAATCAATTGTGCTGGTGTAATGACGCCTCCATAAAAACACAAAAGGGGGGCGCCTGGGTGGCGCAGTCGGTTAAAGGTCTTTGGCTCAGGTCATGATCCCAGGGTTCTGGGATAGAGCCCCAGGGCGAGCTCACGGCTCAGGGGGGGAGCCTGCTTCTCCCTCTCCCTCTGTCCTCCACGCCACGCTCCAGCTGTCTCTCAAATAAATAAATAAATAAATAAATAAATAAAATCTTTTAAGAAAACAACCAACTAACCAACCAAAAGGATAGGGCTTGGAGCTTCCAGATGGAGGTGCTGAAAGGGTGGCCCTCTCAGAGGGTATGGAAGCTCTAAGCCCCCCTTCACCATACCTTTCCCCATGCTACCCTTCCAACTAGCTGCATAATATCCTTTTATAATAAACTGGCAACGTAGTAAGTAAAATGTTTCCCTGAGTTGTGTGAGCCACTCTAGTAAAGGCACTGCACCCACGAAGAGAGTTCTTGGAATCTTCAATCCAGCCTGTTGATAAGAAGCACAAGTGACCTGAACTGGCCACTGGCAATGTGCGGGGGGGGGGGGGGGGGGGGGGGGGGGTTAGCGGGAGACAGTCTTGTAGGATTGAAAACCTTTAACCTGTGGGATCTCATCTATCAGGCAGATAGTGTCAGAATTGAGTTGAACTAAAACCCTGAGCTGGTGCCAGGGAATTGCTCAGAGGTGCAGCAGAAAACCCCCACATGTTGGAATTGAAATTATGCTTATTGATGCATGTTTACCAAGTACCAAACTTCTAGGTTGAGAATGTTCCAGAACATCTAGGTTATCAAAATCTGAACTGTTTCCTCCCAGGTTTCTGAATCTGCCTATCCAAATTTGGTAACATTCCATGTTTTTTTTTTTTTTTAAGATTTTATTTATTTATTCATGAGAGACACAGAGAGAGAGAGGCAGAGACACAGGCAGAGGGAGAAGCAGGCCCCACGCAGGGAACCCGATGCGGGACTTGATCCCAGGACTCCAGGATCATGCCCTGAGCCACCCAGGCATCCCATCAAGGGCCAAATTCAAAGAACTATAGGTTTTCCTTTCATGACACCAGCCTGTGGCAGAGAACTGAAACAAAGAGAAGTCAGTGCCAGGGGAAAGAGAATTTAATAAAAAGAAGCTATGGTGCACAATGATGTAGGTTCTATATTCCTAAAAATCGCTCATCCTGTAAAGAAAGGCACATGAAATAAATACAAATGTGGTAGGATCTTTGTTTTCTGCACACAGAATGAGGTTTACAATGATAGATAATTCCTTACTAAGAATAATTGTTTTCCTATTGAGTTTGATTCCTAAGTTGGATGCTACCTGGGAACATCAAGATGTTTAAAACACAGTCCTTGACATTCGTTTCAAAATGATTGAGGGGGGATCCCTGGGTGGCTCAGCAGTTTAGCGCCTGCCTTCGGCCCAGGACGTGATCCTGGAGACCCGGGATCGAGTCCCACATTGGGCTCCCTGCATGGAGCCTGCTTCTCCCTCTGCCTGTGTCTCTGCCTCTCTCTCTCTCTCTGTCTCTCATGAATAAATAAATAAAATCTTTTAATAATAATAATAATAATAATAATAATAATAATAATTGCTGTTAGGGGTGCCTGGGTGGCTGAGTTGGTCTGCCTTTAGCTCAGGTCATGATCTCAAAGTCTTGAGATCAAGTCCCACTACCTGTTTATGGGGAGTCTGCTTCTCCCTTCCGCTTTGCCCCTCTACTCGTGCTCTCATGTGCTCTCTCTCTCCAATAAATAAGATCTTTAAAAAAAGATAACTGCTGTTAAAGTCAGACTAAAAAGAATTTTATTTATGACAGGTGGGAGGAGTGAGGAACCCAGTCATAGAAAGTTGACCATTAAAGAAACGGCCAGATTTAGAAGAGAGAAGGAAACCTTCCTCTTTTATCCGTGAGGAGAGGGTTTCCTTCTCTTCTATCTTGGTGAAAGTTAACACAGGAAAACAAGAATTTCTGCTCACTAGTGACAATATTTTGCTTAGAGAAAAGGTTTCATGTTTATTTATCTTATATGCACCTTCTGAATAATGGGGAGTCACTAAGGGTTTTCAAGAAAAGGGTGGACATCATGAAAAGCATTTTGAAGTATGTTTACCTGTTTGGTCTTCCTGTGGGATCCAATCAATACTGACATTGGAAAGAGCAAGCTTTGACCACTGCCATGCCTATAGGAGGGCTCTGACTGTAAGCTGCCCAAGAAGGAAGGCCAGTGAATTTTCTGGTAAAGGAGCCTTTCATTTATTCTCCTGAGCTAAAGCATTTCAAAGGAACCTATGATCTGGAAATTATGTCTGAAGACCAATCACAGACATAATTGGCAAGAAGAACTGAGAAATTTCACACTTCTGATTGGGCAGTACACGGCCCCTGTGACCACTGGTCCTCTCCTTCCCTTAGTAACTTCTCTTTTTCAGAATAATGTTGTATAAATACAATGGAAGTAACATTAACAAGTGAATTAGACAGAGAGGCCCACTTTGGACAATCGTTTGGCTCTCTGCACCCTCTAAGTCCACAATATGACTAAAGTTGTGCACAGCTATCTTTCACTATCTTAGGTTTCAGCCTTCAATATATCATTTCCAATCCATGGAAAGAGCCATGGGACTAGCCAATGACATCCAGTACGATAACAAACTGTAAATGGCAATCACCAGGGAATAAAGGAAGTATGGCAAAAGGACAACATAATAGGGTACAAACAGCTCTGGCTAAGAGCAAAGAAACTAGGATCTTAGGCCTAACTGGACTGATATGTGATGACTATAACAGTCAGGTACCTTCTAGGGGCTTTGGTTTCTTTGCCCATAAAAGATAATACCATTTATCTTGGAGAAGGAAGGAGAAATGACCTGAGCTGATTCTTTTTGCTCATTGGTCTGTTTATAAAGATGATTTTGCTTAACTTTGTACTTTTGGACCATTCTCTCCTGAATGTTGATTCTCAAAATCCTGAATTAAATGGCATTATTTTTATATTACAAACATACCAAGGTTCCAGAGTGTTTTGAAAATCAAAATTCAGGGCAAATGAGCAAAAAGCCAGTACATGTCATTTCCCCTTCACTTTCTCTCAATAAGTAATTCTCAATACACTGAGGATAATTAGTTAATTGGTTTTCTCAGCTTCTGTGATCCTAAAATAGAGCCAAGCAGGTAAAGATATAGAATACCCACCATCTTGATAGTACCTGGAAGTATGCCAAGCCCTTAAGGACATGGAATGTTTTCTATTCATAGCATTTCCCAGGGCACATCCTAGAAGCATGGCGAAGGCACTGCTGAGTTCATCAAGTTAGTCAAGGACTATACTTCCTATCTGGATGCAGACCAACTAAAAGATAATCATCATGCTCACCTATCCACAGCTCTGTCTAGCAAGTAAAACAGAGCCTGAAGTACCACATGTTGGACTGACTTGTGAGGATGATGCAATCTGGCAGTGAAGAGAGCAATAGAAGCTCCTGTTGGGTCCCGAACATTCTAGAGCAAATAAAATGAGAAACATTTATAAACTAAATAGAAAATCACAACAATCACAAAGGCTTCTTATATCTTAGACAAAAATTTCACACGGAGAGAAGAGATGCTGGCAATACTTCTCTGACCTGCATCAGTTGCTCCAGGAAGGGAAGAAAGCTTATTTCATCCCACTCCTGATTCTTAGCACCCCCGGATTGTATCTGTGTGGCAGGAAAAAAAAACTACATTCCCTTAACTTGTCAATTGCAGAGAGATTAAAGGATGGTCTACACTTGCTGCCTAGCTAATTTCCCAGGTAGGATGGCAAAACACACAGCAGGGGAAAACCACGGAAGACAACCATGGTTTCCATGCTCTGCCTTAAAAGTAGCATCGTATACTTATTCAAAAGGCTGTGGTCTCTAGGTGGAGAGAACTTGACTCCAATAAGGACGGGCCTCTGAAACACTACATACGCACCTAAAGACCCTGACTAACAATGGACCAATGAAGAAACTTTGCTTGATATACTGTGCAACTGATTCTCAATAATTTCATTTGTTACTAGAATAATTTTGTGCAAACTGCACAACTGCTTTATGTCTGCTCTTGAATGTTGACACTCTCTAGATTTAGGATAAGGTATCTAGGAACAAAATCCAAAGAGGACAACAGCTACAAAAGGAAATAATGAGAACAAGAAGGGTACATAAAGACTCACTAAGATGGTGAATTTCCCACTAAGGATCTCAGAACGGAGAGGTTCCTCATGAGGTTTCAGCTTCACAATGCCTTCCTTCCTTCGTGTTTCCTAAAAATAAAACATAGCAAGATAAATTAAAGTGAAAATACTGTGTATCGAAGACAGCTCTATGTAACCATCAAATCTCAGAGATAAGGGACTTTAAAGTAAAATCACTGAATAAACTGAATCACAAATTCCCTTGTAACATCCTTCAGGCCAATTGAGTATTACCTGAATTCTCGTCCAATGCACCTGATCAGCCTGTTAGGTATCGTATTTTCCTTTAAATCAGTGAGAAGCCTACCGTGAAGACCAGCTAATACATATGGCTAGAGTGCAGGGTCAAAGTTCTAAAATATACATCAGCAGTGATCTATTTTTTTTAATTTTACATTTTATTTATTTATTTTTAAAGATTCTATTTATTTATTCATGGAGACATACAGAGAGAGAGAGGCAGAGATACAGGCAGAGGGAGAAGCAGGCTCCATGCAGAGAGCCTGACATGGACCAGATCCAGGGTCTCCAGGATCACGCCCTGGGCTGCAGGCAGCTCTAAACCGCTGTGACACCGGGGCTGCCCCATCAGCAGTGATGTTGCAGCAAGATATTATAGGGGATCCCTGGGTGGCGCAGTGGTTTGGCGTCTGCCTTTGGCCCAGGGCGCGATCCTGGAGACCTGGGATCGAGTCCCACATCGGGCTCCCGGTGAATGGAGCCTGCTTCTCCCTCTGCCTGTGTCTCTGCCTCTCTCTCTGTGTGACTATCATAAATAAATAAATTGAAAAAAAATTTTTTTTAAATTATATATATTAAAAAAAAAGATATTATACATGCACCCAAAAAATGTCTGGAAGCAGACCTCGTCACACTTCCTTAAGGCTGAGGCCTCTCCCCACTTAAAAAAGGAGCCATCAATCCCCTGGATATGTTCTCCAACAAGACCTACCATGACCTCAGTTTTCTTATCTCCACAGTATGACTCTTTAAGCTCATCCTCATACTTGGTCCACTGCATTCTCGTTGCTTCCAATCTAACTACTGCACTGAGAGCTCCTGCTCCAGTGCCAGGCCTGCCTTCCCGTCAGTGAACCCAGTAGGCGTTTTCAGCTCTCCTTTTACATGACAAGGTTGACCACTCATCTTCCCTTTTTCCAGAGACACTCTATCAGAGGTAGACAATACTCTCAGTTTTCCTATGTCCTCAACTACTGCTCCTACGTCTCTTTTTTGTTCTTGTTTTTTTTTGTTTTTTTGTGTGTGTGGTTTTGTTTTTTTGAGAGAGAGAGAGAAAGAGAGAGAGAGAAAGAGAGAGTGCGCACGGGGGTTGGGGTAGAGGGAGAGGGAGAGTGACACAGGGCTCGATCTCATGACCCTCAGATCTTGACCTAAGCCAAAACCAAGAGTTGGATGCTAAAAAAAAATAAAAATAAATAAAAAAATAAGTTGGATGCTTAACCCACTGAGCCACCCAAATGCCCCTTTTGGGGTTTTTTTCATTCATCTGCTTACTCAATTCACTCACCGGCTCGTTCATTTATTCTGCAAATAGTTATAGAGCAATTATTATGTGCCAGGCACTGAGCTAAGTGCTAGGAACACACACTGGTGAATGAAACAAACTAGGTATTTGTTTATATTCTCACCCAAATCATCCCTAAAATCAAATTCAATTATCTTCAGAGGTAGGGAGCAAGTGAAGACAGTATTAGTGCTAGGAGAGTGCGTATGCTACCAAAGCATTCAAATTCAACTTTTAAGACAATACTGAGCCAAAGATAGCAAAAAGTCTGAGGTGACGTTCAGCCCTATATATCTTCCCCTCATACTTCCTGGAAGGCCCTCACCCTTTCTCATGGCTCCAATATTCAGCTCTACTTTGGTCACTCAAAATCTCTACTTCAGGTCCAGATTTTTTTTTTTTTCTGAACCCTAGACACACTCCAATTCTCAGAGAACATGTTTATTTAGATATCTCAGTGGCATGTCAGACTTAACATGGCCAAACTGAACTCATGGCCTTGTCTGTCCACACACCTGCACTATTTCAGTGTCTCCTAAATTAGTGAATGCTACCACCATTTACCCTGCCACCCAAGTCAAAGACCTAGAACCCTTGACTCTTTTTCCTTAAACACCAGTTTAAGCAACCTTGTCTTACCACTTTTACTTCTAGAATCTTCCCATTTTTTCCTCTATATCCCGACACTACACTTTGACACCACGACCGTCTCACTCTCCATAATTACAATGGCCTTCTAATTGGTCTGTCTCCAGTATAGCCCTGCTGATCTATTATCTAAAGCACAGTGAGGGCAGTCCAGGTGGCTCAGCGGTTTAGCGTCTGCCTTCGGCCCAGGGCATGACCCTGGGGTCCCGGGATCGAGTCCCACGTCAGGCTCCCGGTGCATGGAGCCTGCTTCTCCCTCTGCCTGTGTCTCTGTCTCTCTCTCTCTCCCCCTCTGTGTCTCTCATGAATAAATAAAATCTTTTAAAAAAATAAAAATAAAAATAAAGCACAGTGAGAAAATCTTCCCAGAATGCAAATCTGATCAAGTTATTCTGCTGTTCTTATTACCTTCAATGAATTTCTCTGTCCTTAAGAAAAAATAGATACTCTTATGATCTGGCCTTGTTTACTTTTGCTACTCAATCTCTTGACATGTCCCCACTCCCAATGAGCATTTTCACTCAGCTTAATTCCTCTGTTGTCTGAATCTGAACTTGCTATTCTCTCTGCCATACTCCACTTTTCCAATTCCTACTCCATTCTTCAGATCTTAACTTAGAAATCATTTCCTTCAAGAAAGTTTCCTTGGCCCTTCTAAGTAAATGTGCTTCTGCAGAACTAAGTAGTGACCTAACATAATTTTCTATAATTGTGTGTCTATTTTCTCTTTCTAAATAGTAATCTCTGCACCTGGAACATAGTATATATACAATAAACATCTGCTGAACAAATAAGTGAATATTGTAGGAGATGACCCACAAGATAGGTCTAAGTGAGCTTTTAGTTTTGAACTAATCCTAGCATGCTTCATCCTCCCTTTTTAATTTAGAGAGGTTCTATATCTCTTCGGAAGGATTTTCTGACTGCAAAGTAGGGCTCCTAGATATTGACCTGCTTTTTTTTTTTTTTTTTAATGACAGCAGGGAGAACACTCAGAGAACTATTGTGTGTAGTGTGTGGCAAAGAAAAAGCAAAGCAGAGGGCCCATATGCCATAGGCCCGGTCTAGCCCCACGCACATACTCTGTAGGAGTGGAACAACTCTATGGCGCGGAGCACATCGAACTTCCTGGCCATGAGGAACTTGACAGCCACATCCCAAGACAGAGGAGAAACATTGTACTGAACCGTCCACTTGTTAATCTCTTCAAGAAACTGCTTGGTGGCCTGTTTGACAAAGAAAGGAAAGAAAAATTAGTCAAGAACATATTTACACAAACAACAAACAAGCAAAAAAAAAAATTTATCCTTTCCTCAAGCAAGTCTGAACCCAAAGTTTCTTATAGGGAGCAGGGAAAGACAAAAGTTGGAAAACAGGTCTGAAAGTAGAAATAGTTAAAATTCATACTACTCAATGAGGCCAGAGGCCAGAGCCACATTCAGAGGGCAGGACTGAGCATAAGGATCCAGGAAGGAAAAATGAGGGAGGAAAGCAAGGCACCCAAATGGGATGCAAATTAGTGAACCCAAAGCAAAAAACCCAGCAGTTTACTTTTTGTTGTTGCTATTTTTTATTTATTTTTTTAAAATTTTTATTTATTTATTCAGAGAGAGAGAGAGAGAGAGAGGCAGAGTCACAGGCAGAGGGAGAAGCAGGCTCTATGCAGGGAGCCTGACGTGGGACTCGATCCCGGGTCTCCAGTATCACGCCCTGGATTGAAGGCGGCACTAAACTGCTGAGCCACCTGGGCTGCCCATGTTGTTGCTATTTTTTAAATAAAAGAAGGCGGATAGACCCCTTGAAGGGTTATTGCATCATGTGTATCACGGTACAACAGTCTCAGCTGCTGTTTGGGTCCTGCAAGCCAACTGGATACAGCAAAACCATCAGAAAATGGTTTTGGCTTTGGAATTAGCAATACTATTGGAGAGCAGCAAAGCTATTAAAAAGAACTTAACAAATCAAAAGGCCAACTGTTCTTTGGGCTGACTGACCCCACAGGACCTCTTCATGCTTCACATGGCAGCCCCAAAACCAGACACTAGTGCCCAGAGTCATTAACCACTTTGGATAGTGGTTGCCTGGGAAGGGTGGAGAGCTGCATACTGAGTGAGGAGTAGGAAATTTTCATTTTCACTATCTGATCCCAAGCTGGCAAGGTGCCTGTTTCTTTTCCCTATCTCTTGATTAACCCATGTCCTTCTATCCTCTCTCAACCTATTTCTCCTGACATTTATAACCAGTTTCTGCTCTAGCCAAACTACTCTTCTGTTTCTTCAGTTTTTGAATAGGATTTACATCAGGATTTTTTCTTTCCTTTTAATTTTTTTTTTTAAATACCCAATGTGGAGCTCAAACTAACAACCTCAAGATCAAGGGTTGCAAGCCCAGGGCACCTAGGTGGCTCAGTGGTTGAGTGGCTGCCTTAGGCTCAGGTCATGATCCTGGGGTCCTAAGATCAAGTCTCACATCAGACTCCCTTCAGGGAGCCTGCTTCTCCTTATGTCTCTGCCTCTCTCTGTGTGTCTCTCATAAATAAATAACATCTTAAAAAAAAAAAAACAAACAAACAGTTGCAAGCTCTGCTGATTGAGCCAGCTAAGTGCCCCTACACTGGGAATTTTTGCATACATATTCTCAATTGCTGAACATTTTCTGCATGGCAATCTGGTCCCTTCCACCCAGAAACTTTTCTCACATGTTGATCCAAAATGTGACCAACTTCATGAGAATTCTGAAACTTAACTGATCAACAAATCAATCCACAGTTAAGATATACTTATTAAACTATTATATATTTATTAACTACTTGTTAATATCTGTGCTAAGAAATACAAGGAATACTAAAAATAAGGTCTGCTTTATTTTTATTTTTTTAATTAATTAATTAATTAAAATTTTTTTTTAAGGTCTGCTTTAAAAGGTCTAAGACTAACCTACTATATGGCCATGGACAAGGGACAAGGTAATTTTCTCTTCATCTCTGATTTTTCAATTGAAAAACAAAGGGAAGGGTGCCTGGGTGGCTCAGTAGGTTAAGCATCTGCCTTAAGCTCAGATCATGATTTCAGGGTCCTGGGATGGAGCATCACGTCTGGCTCCCTCTCCCTCAAGACCTCCCCTGCCGCTCATGCACTCATTCTCTCTCTCTCAAATAGATAAATAAAACCTTAGGAAAAAAGAAAAGAAAAGAAAGAAAAGAAAAGAGAAAGAAAGAAAGAAAAGAAAAAGAAAGAAAGAAAGAAAGAAAGAAAGAAAGAAAGAAAGAAAGAAAGAAAGAAAGAAAGAAAGAAAGAAAAAGAAAGAAAGAAAGAAAAAGAAAGCAAAGCAGGAGGGGAGGGAAGGAAGGAGAGAAGGGAGGAAGGGAGGGAGGGAGGGAGGGAGGGAGGGAGGAAGGAAGGAAGGAAGGAAGGAAGGAAGGAAGGAAGGAAGGAAGGAAGGAAGGAAGGAATACAAACGGGAGAAAGGGTAACAAGCAATTGACCTACTGCAGAATCTTGGCAACAAGTCCTACCTTTCAAATTCAATTCAGATTGCTACATACATGTTTAAACAACTAGCAAATTAGAGAGCCCCAGGAAGTCAGCAGCTGCACCTGACCCTTAGAACCTTCCAACCGGGGCAATATAATTTATACCCCTGGAAAAGGAGAGAACTAGAAAAAACTAATCAGGCAAAGTGCATTAAAAAAGCCAAGTAATAAAGGCCATGAAGAAAAGCCTTCAGATGATCACTCTGGCCCAGAACCAGTTTAAGTCACACCAGAGAAATGAGTCCCAGGGAAGACAACAGGACAAACTTAGAATGCCCCACCAAAAAACAGTTGGAGTTGCCTCTGTGGGGTGAGTGGCCAGCATCAGAATGAGGAAAGACAGAAGGGAAAAGAAGAGAAGTGGGCAGAGAAAGATCCCAGAAACAAAACCTCAGCCAGCCTGGAAGGTCCCCAGGAGATTTTATAAAGGGTTGTCTTTTAATTAACATATCATCTTTAAATCCAGTCCTCTTTTGGGCTTGGCTGAAGCTGCCCGGAGAATAAAACACCAGAGTAACAGCAGAACATACTTTTTCCCCTTTTCTAATAAAAATAATAAACAGACAAATCAATATGCAGGTAGGAGGAGGAAATACAGTTAATAGCGAGAGGGTGATACGAACTCATAACACATCCAATTACTAGTATGATTTTTTCATTTTTCGTAAATAGCCACGCCTCGATAAGAGTACAAAAGGCTTCACACACGCCCTCCACAGCGCATACACATTGGCTTCCTTCTTCTTAAACTCCGTTCTTTCAAAGTTCCTAATGTCCTGTAGCTCCCAAGAGCTGCTTCCTTGCGCTGACCTCTGTCCCCTGCTGGTCAGGATGTTATTCTTGGCTTTAAGCTCGGGAACAATTCCTCCTGATTTGGCCCCACTCGGCCTAGCATGAGAAGAGTCCAGGGTACTGTAAACAGCGTGTGATATTTACAGATACAAATACGCATACACACGGCCGTCCATCACATTCAGCCTCAGATTCACCATCCTGCATCCCTATCCCTCTTGTGCAAGAGATGAACCTCTTAAAGATGGCCTCAGCTTCAACAGCCTTTGTCTAGAAAGTTAATCAGGCATCTTCCTCTGTTTACACATGAATTCAGCACAACCAATAAACATAGAACAATTTGTGGCCCTATTGGTACCCAGAGAAACAAGTCCTAGCAATTTTAATGAGCAACACACTCTTCATAAGGGATAATCGAAATTCCTGAAATTAATATTATTTCCTGGTGAACAAAAGAATGAGCCAAAAGATAAGTCACAGCTTATAAGAGATCTCAACTCAAGGTCAACGGTTTGAATCTATCTAGGTTTATGAGTTAACAGTAAACTGTTAACACCTGGCAGCTAAGGCATGGTCACAGTTCAAACAGCTGTGGCCGTCCTTTGGGAAGAAGGTCTGAACTGATGTTCAGAAAAACTAACATTATCACTTACAACCTTCCTCAATCCACTTTCAGGTACAGGTAAGATTTGTTTCAGCCTTGTCAAAAGCTTACTGTAAATACATACTACTCCCACAATCATGTTTAAATAAATAAAGACAGGGGCAGTCCGGGTGACTCAGCAGTTCTGCACCTGCCTTCAACCCAGGGTGTGATCCTGGGGTCCTGGGATCGAGTCCTGCACCGGGCTCCCTGCATGGAGCCTGCTTCTCCCTCTGCCTGTGTCTCTGCCTCTCTCTCTCTGTCTCTCATGAATAAATAAATCTTTTCAAAATACATACATACATACCTACATACAGGTTTCTTAATGACAGCCAGGAGGATAAAGATATAGGGAACCCACTATAAAATGGCTGAGAAATCTGTCAATTAAGCGGATTATGGCCTGGACACTATCCACTGGTGTTAAATATGTCACTGGAGAGAATAAAAACAGCAGTCTTCATGTTACCTCACACTCCCAAGAGCAGCTACAATTTTGAGATGAGTTCTAGACAAAGGGCTAGCCGACCAAAAGATCAAGAAAAACGCGCTGGCGTACTCAATTGCACAGTATCTTAAATCCTGTGTTCCAGCACAAATAGGAGAGAGTAAAAACCAGACCTATAACAAACCTGCTTTTGAAAGAAACAGAAAACTTCAGCCTCCTGGGATGTCAGCCAGCAAACCACCAAAGAACAGGGGTCCAGTGGGTTTGAGATGCAGCAGAACCCATCCTCTCACTCACTGCTGTGGGATATCTGGGCGAGTCATTTAACCTCCCTGATAAACATACCGCACGGACGAGACAACGAACAGAAAAGCACTACAGGATCTGGCAAGTGGTAGGTAGTCTCTGAACGGATGTTTATTCTCTTTTTCTTTATTCCAGTCATTTCGCACTAAAACTTATTTCAAAAGTTAGAGTTCCTCAGAATCAAGTGCTCTTTCTCTTTAGCCAGTAGAAATTCACTCTCTCTAATCCACTTTATCAAAAAGCACAAATTTAAATCAGAAACTTCCAATATGTGTTCAATCGCAAGACAAAAGTTTCTAAAGGAGCAACTCCTCACTCCGGGCTCTGGGTAACACAGAAGCTGGGGTGGGAAGTATTTATCTCCCCCCCCCCTTTTTTTTTTGTCTAAATCCTTTTGTCCCTACTTTCAGACTACACTGGCAGCTCTGGGGATTAGCTCTGCCATCCTGAGCATTAAACTGACTAGAAACTATTTCTCATTAAAATAAAGGAACAACTCTGTGCA